CTGTATTTGCCAACCTCAGCCAGGATGGAGCCGATATCTTCTTGGAATGCGAGCAAAACATCTCTTCCTTGACTGTGAGCTCCCATTTGAGGAATATGTGAAACTAATTGGTTCAGAAGCCTCGTAGAATAAATTTCAGGCGATTCGACACCAAGTTGTTCGAGTCTCTGCTTGTACAGTAAGACTAAGTCTGCTAGTCTAAAAATTGTTCCATTAGAACCTTCACACGCAGTTTTTGTCTCATTGATGTATGTCACCAATTCAGAGAAAGCCAGTGAATATGCATCTTTTTGTCAAGGTTCTTTGTGTTTTTCTCGTATCCTTTGCACTAAGATATGCTCTTTCTCTATTGTACAGTGCAGCTCAGCAAGCAGGGTAAAATTTCACCTCTTGTGCCACTACATCTCTTGCACTAAGTTAGCAAGGAATCTTTTGTCACTGAGTCTTTTTGCACATTCATTGATTCTGTCACTGAGTTTCATTGTCATCGATTGACGGAGAGCACTCTCTGGTGCTGGTTTGTCACACAAAAAGCATTCTGTTGTGGTTTTTGTGTCTCTTGGCTTTCATAGTACCTTACTTCGGCAACCGTCATCACTGTCAACTAAAGAGGTGGTTGCTCTTTTTGGGGCTCTTTGCAACCTTATGTTGCTCACCTAAATCTACAGCTCTCATGATATTTGGCAGTATTTTTCCTCATTGTCTCTGCAATACCATCTCCATCATCTAGTGTTTCCATATCAAGCCTTATTGGAAGGGCATTGATTGAGTTGAAAAGAGGAATATTCTTGGCTAATTTGCTGTAGCCATCTTTCTCTCTTCTAGTAGGGTTAGTCCTTGGGGATTTAAGTTCTTCCTTTTTATATCATGACACAGACAGCACTTGGCCCAGTTTGTTTTCCTTTCAGGATTACTTTTAGGACCAATATTCATCGCCATTGTGGTACAGAGTCGAAGGTTTATCCTTTTATAACTCTGTATCATACATACTTTCCAGCATGGTACAAAACTAGGTATAATCAATTGTTTGCCCTAACTTTAATCCCATTACCCTTGGCTCGTGTAATGATTGATTGTCAGACCAAAGCTTACAGCCCAGAATTATGTCACATGTAACAGCAAGTACACTACAGACCTCGTGGTACCACCACATTCCGGGTTGACACACCTCAGGTCGACCCTAGGGACTTGACCTCGCCCGCTAATGACGTGAGTTAGCCGGGTGACCTACAACCGCACCTCACCAAGACACCTGGGCAAGACCACACCTGCACACAGCTATCCAGATCAAACCAGTTTAGCGATTATTGGTTAGAGGTCAGAGCCGGTTGGGCCGACCCCATATAAAGGCACTACAGTCCCGTCCACGATCATTCTGGATCCCAGCATTATTCTGGTCATACTGATTCTCATTCTGGCTGCTGTCATCTCTCTCCCGACCGGGTCCTCACTCGGTTCACAAAGCAGAGTCACTCACGTCCCCTCCCCAGGTCGGGAGGGAGACTTCCCGACCAGACCATGGCATCGCCAGCTAAGCAGATTCTCCCATAGGAGGCAGCCCAGCCAGCACTCACTGGGCCTACGTCAGGGTACACGTGAGTCTTGTCAGAAGGTCCTAGGGTGAGTTACCTACTGTGAAAAGTGTATTCATTCAGGTGTGTCCGAGAGTCAGTGTCGAGTAACGTAAAACATAATGTGTTAGTCCCCCGATATAATAGTGATATTAATGTGTCCATGTCATTGAGTGAAGTAATAAATAGTTGTATCGAAGAGGTGTTTAACAAGTTGTCCCTTTAAGAAGCGATATATATGTATTGACATACGAGATAAGATAAGCGTATTGACGCTGAGTAAATAACATCCCGGCCACGATATATGTGTATTGATATACAAGATATTATAAGCGTATTGACGCTGAGTAAATAACATCCCAAATAACATCCCGGCCAGCTACCAAGTTTCCTATCATTACATTGCTACTCTCTATTCTTACTTATATATGTAATCTACATCTTCCTCTTCTCTGTTTATTGTGTCTCATTACAGTGGTGGCAGCGAACTATACGTTAACCCACGCCCTCCTCGCCTCATTACACTCGGCTCTCCCGCGCTGGTACATCCTGTCAATTCGGGTGCGGCTACCTAACCTTATTTGGGGATGATTAGGTAACACATACACACATATATATATAAATATATATATATATACATATATATATATATATATATATATATATATATATATATATATATATATATATATATATATATATATATATATATATATGTAACCGGTCGGAATTTACTGGACTTTAATTTTTCACTTGACTTGGGGTATATTAAAGATTAATAGATGGTAATGGCAGTGGAAGCGCCCCTTTGAGAAAAATCCCGAACCAGCACAAGAACACTTAAATCTACTAAACAAAATGAATTGTCCGTGACCCGTAGAAGGATAGCGTCTGTGACTGGGATGAATGAGACACACTGTAAAATTTAGACACTTATATTCCCTCCAACATTACAAACACAATCAAATAATGGTACACCAATATGCGCACCTCTTAACTTGAACTTAAAACACTACTCTGGGGAATAAAAGTTATACATGATATAGAAATTATTAGAAACTCAGGCAACAATAAATTTGAAGTATTAAGAAATGTTGCTTGCACACATGAAACAGACCTTAAGGGCACTCAACAAAATTATATCACCCCAACAGATGCACACTTCCTAACCTAACTTAACCACTACTCTGGGGAACAAAGGTTATACCTGAGATCGGAATTATGAAGAAAAATTAGATGCATTAAAAGAATCAAATCACAGTATCACTCTGGTTCCACTTAGTGACACAAACATTCAAAAAACAATACTATCAAAATTATTTAAGAAATATTAAACTACACACGTCAAGATAATATCAGTAACTGAGAAATGGTATTAACTACACCCAAATATATTGTCACTATTATTGGTTTGTTACTGGGTCCACCAATACCCGTGAACCATGCTTCCTAACCTAACACACACACAGATTCCACCTGCACTCCGTAGTCGTTTAAGGCACAACCAACAGGCACCCGTAGTTTAAGACCCAAATCAGCCTTTCTCAACCTTGGAAAGTGTACCTCTAACTCCACTGACTCTTGGCCCCAGTGTGCGGCCCTGTATCACTCAGCTGGCCTCACTTTACCCCCAGTACATCCATGAAACGGAAGGGAGTGAGCCAATTAGACCTTGTACAGTTGAGAGAAGCTTTAGCTTCCCGTAGCAAGAGGGTTTCACTAAGCTGCTCGAGACATGTGGTGTTGTGAGCCTAGGTAGAGGAGAGCTGATGACCCAACGATCGTCCCGTCGTCAGGTGGGCACCCAGACGGCTAGATTCCCTCAAGAGATCCTTTGATACCCCGCTAAACAGTGACAGGCCTACACTGATCGGTCCAATGGCGACAATCGCCACCCTCAATCATCAACGGCAGTCTCAAACGGCAGTCAATCTCTCGCGGTTATCACTCTTGCAGTCAATTTCTGGCAGTCAAGTGGGTTCTGACGGAAAGCCTGAAATGACCTCACTGTTAGCTCTTGTTAACTTTACCACTGCCCTATCTAACCCTGTCTGAGATCGAATGAGACTTACTTGTTATACTGCAATAGTGCAACACAGGTGACTAGGCCACGTGACTATTTCTGTGGACGGACGCGCAGGGATGTCCTGTAGGTCCAATCGCTTTCACGTGACTGAGGACCAGCCAGCGTTGCGTCTCTCCAAGGCGCTAGCTTAGGCCTACGTGACATATTTTCCGCCTAACTAATAACTCCTTGGGACACCCGTGACATTATTCAGACTGATAAACGATCTATAATAATTTCAAATTCAATAATAGTCCCTTAACTTCATGAATCGCATCATTATTAATTCGGCAAATTACATTTAATATCACTTAGGCTTAGTTCCACAACCTCTCGCTATGTGCAGGGAGCGCTCTCTTCCCTCAGACGACCTTGAAAGCTCAGTATCGCCAATGGCGCGGTGTTTGAAATTACACTGCAATTTCTGAATATTACATATATATATATATATATATATATATATATATATATATATATATATATATATATATAACTTTAATAGTTATGGTGTAATTTGCAGCAGTGTTGTCAAAGTGTGCCCTGGTAGTACATTGACATTTACTCTTTATAAGCATGTTTCCTTTGAATGCTCTCCATTTCTCAACACAAAATTTAGGTTCTACGAACTCAAAAACACAGAAATAAACACTGAAATCACCTGAATTTATGAACACAATAAATTTTAAGCCCAAAAGGAAAATGTGACATCCACTTTTGGTGGCCATCTTGGAATTTTTAATGTAGAATCAGGAAGACTTGATAATTAACCCATGTTGAATCCTCATGCCAATTTTCAACATTCTTTCAAAAATTGACACTTTGCCGCTCCGCTATCAGGTATCTTTGCCTCTGATGTTACTACTACTTGTATTACCTTTCACTCATTTATTATAATGAATTGTGAGTAACTAACAACTATTAAAAACTTGAAAATTGCAAAGAATTTCTCTTTGCTATCCGTAAATTTGGCCAACATGGACTTTGGCAATTAATATTTGTAACAATCTTTTGTTTGGTCAAAGTTACTGAGCTTATCATATCTGGAAGAAAGAAATCACAGGCTGCAAACAGTGGAAAACTAGATTGATAAAAAAATCCAAATATATTTTAGACAGAATATTAGTTATATGCAAACTAACTTTCATTTACCTGCCTAGGAAAATTAACCATCAAATGCTACAGTTTATTTGCTTTTGCATTACTCCTGGTAAACGATATCAGGAGAGTGAAGTTGGTGTAAATCAAAGTTATTTTTAGAGTCGTTTATGTTTTATTATTAATACACAAGAATCACGAGACACAAACTGACGAAGAAGAGTTCAGGAAACTTAGTACTGGTGTGTCTCATTTCTTTATGTTTACATTTATTTCCCGTAACCTCCACCGCCACCATTATGACCGCCACCTCCGGAGCCGCCACTGCCGTAGCCACCGCCGCTACTTGAACCCCCATAACCACCGCTACCGCCGCCGCTTGAGCCACCATACCCACCACCACCGCCGCTGTAGCCGCCATACCCACCACCGCTGCTGCTGGAACCACCATACCCTCCGCCACCACCGCTGGAGCTGCCATACCCACTGCTTCCACTTTTGGAGCCACCAAAACCGCCTCCACCACCACTATAACCATTACCACCACCACCTCCATGGCCACTACCACCACCACCACCACCACCACCACCACCACTATACCCTCCTCCTCCACCGCCGCCACTTCCATACCCATCTGGCTTGGCGAGACTGGTCACAGCCAGGATCCCCGCCACCAAGGTCACTAACAACAGCTTCTGAAATTGTCAGAGATAAAATATTATTAGTAAGTTATTCTCATCAATAAAATAGTATTACAAATAACTTCTTTTACCAAACGAAGAAGGGTATTGTTTATTTATGTACATAAAACATGATATTTGTTTACAATCTTTCATATACAGTTTTCTTCAGTACAGACTTTATTATAATGAACCTGT